ACTATTTTTAATGGCTTTTTTTATTTCTGGACTCTGCTGCTTGGACTAACAGCACTCTCCTTTCCAAAGGCATACCATGGCCTTCCCTTTTCCTGCCTTGCAGTCCAAGGAGAATAGATGAGAGAAACATATTTTCCCTCCATCAAAGCAGGAGTAACCACGCATCCTCCAGTTTGCACCAGGGCTCTGTGTGTTGCATATTTTATACCTCTCTCTACCCAAACTCAGCAGAGAAAAGCAGAAGTGTGGAACAGGCAGTGCTGCTCTCAACCGCGCCTGAATGCGGATGAGAAGGAAAATTTATCCTGTTCTGAGGCCGTGTTAGTGATGCCAAATTTAACAATGACTTCAGGGTGGGTGAGGCTGATGCCTCCCTCAAGTACAGTGGTGTTGGGTATTAAATGCATTCTTTGCCACTTCTGATTATTGCTGTTTAACATAGGAAGAAAATTTGGGTCATTTTGTGGGTTTTTGATGTGTAGCAAGGAGAGTCCTGTTTAAATTTGAGCAAGGTCCCCCATTCTTTAACAGGTTGAGTGGAAGCATTCAACACAAATTGTTTTGTGTCATGGCAAACTCAATTTAAAGGTAAAATGTAAGAACTCTGAGCATGTACCAGAGGTTCTGCCTGATGTTTGGGGACCAGGTGTATTTGGATGATTCACACAGGAATCACTTTCTATGAGAGGTATGGAAATGAAATGGAGGAGAAGTGGCTCAGGAAAGGTGTGTTTTGGCAGGAGAGGAGGGTGAGAAGGCGTAGGTAGGAGGGAGTGAAGCCTGCCAAAACAGCAAAAGAGAAAGTTTTTCAGTGGAGCAGAAGAAATGCCTCGTTAGCAGAGGATGAGCAGAGCACCTGGCTGTGCAAACAGCGACTGGGGCTGGCAGGTGGAGCAGAAATCCCTGCCCCAGGGCAGGAGGATGACCTGCAGGAAAAGCCAAAGGGCAGCTTGGGTGGCTGAACTCCTGCACAGCCAATGTGACTTGAAGGGACTGATTATGCTGAAGCTCCTTTTTGAATTTTTATCTTTGCTTTTATTAATGCAATACAATCTCTTCCCTCAAATCACATTTTTATATGTCTGTGTGCCTATGTATTAGATATATGCATATAAATTGCCTCCCAATTAATTTCCAAAGGGAAAAAATATATTTTCTCAATTTACTGGGAGGATTTATGATATTTAAATGAAAACTTGCAAAATAAGTTTGAAATCAATGGATCTTCAGGCCCTCTCCCTCCTGAATAAAATAGAGGAGCTGTCCCTGTACAGCTCCTGGTTTGTGCAATACTGTAAAGTTACTGTTCAGTGTGGAAATTCAACTTTCAGGGTGTCACTTACCACCATCAATAGCCCTAAATATTGAGTGGTTTATTTATAATTCCAGCATTAATCCTGATATTAAGGTAGCACTGTACTGTACATCAAAATCCTAAGGGATGGAAAGGAAAGAAATTTTTCATGGGACTAGGAAGCATTTGATATGACAAATACTTCATAAAATTAGAGAAGTCTTATCATTTAAAAGATGAATCACACTGAGTTGTAACTGCCCTGCTGTGCTTTGCATTCTGTCTGCTGATATCTGGCATTTCAAGTGTATATATCATCAACCTCCTTATCTGTACTTTACAATCTTTTTTATTTTTTTTCTTTTGGTGTTGTTACAGAAGTTTTGCTGATTCCTCATCTTTAAATTTAGTTTTGGAAGTGTAGGGTGGTTAATTTAAAGTAGACTTAAGGTAACATTTAAGCTCAAATTACTGTTTAGGGATTTCTGGGGAGGGAGGAGGAAAGCTTTATTTTATATACTGTCTCCCTCCGAGAACCCCAGGGAAAACAGATCTGTGGTACAAGCCACACACATGACAAGAAAAGATACTGTGTTTTTCTCAGTAATTTATCACCTTCTGTATGATGGAAAGCCTAGTTTTCCAAAAGAAATATCAGGGAGGGAAATAAATACCCTGAAACAAACTCATATTTAGTACAGGTGAGGAACTCAGCAGCTCAAACCCAGGCTCATTTCCTGTATTTCTGATGGACTTTGGTCTGCTGGTTACAGATTCTAATGGGGATGCTCAGGAATGGCCCCTGCTGTGTAACCGTTGCCTAGTTTGGGGTGGATTTGGGGGGAAAAGTTGTTATTCCATGACAAATCTGTTTAGATGTTTCATAACACACCCCAAATGAGCACCATTTTATAGCTGTTTTCAACCAAGCAAAATGTGATATGTCATTGTGACTGTAACAGAACCACATTTTTAAACAGATGTCATTTTTTCTTAGGATTTCTGTATTCCATTATGAATCACTGCTGTTGGAGGGAGGAAAATAATCTTCATCTCTAAATGTACAAAACCTTCTACCTGGAATACACAGAGTTCTGGAAATAGCAATAATGGAAATAGCAATAATAGCACACAGTAGTCCTCCTCCTGTATCAGCCTCAAATGCCAAGAGCTCTTCAGAGAAGAAAAGCTGAGGCCTTAGAAGATATTGCTGGGTATTAAAGATATGAATTTTTATATCAAAACCAGCATATTATGATACCAACAAAGCCTTTCAGTATAAACAAACAGAATTGATAGCATTGGGTATCAAATGATCTATAAAGTACTTTATTTCGTGTAAGATGGTTGTGGAGGTTTAATATCCAGGAGAAAGTTGCTATAAAATGCCATAATGTTGCACATAAGAGAGCTGCTAATTAGAATTGTCAATCAGAGATTGATCACTGCCTCATAAACTGCAGAAGATGCTGTGCATCCAAGCAATTGTGTTATCTTAAGGGGACAAGGAACTGCAGCATTCAGCTCGGAGCTGTCAGCAGGATTTCATAGAGTGAAGGTCTGTTCTATCCCTGCAGTCTGTTGAGCAGCCTTGCAGAGAACACCTAGAGCAGCCTCAGCTTCACAGCCTGCTGATAAAGGAACACTCTGCTGTAATAGAACAGATACTTCTAATGTCATTCTTTTTTTCATATGGAAAAATATATTTGTAGTGTTATGTTCACTCACCCATTTTCTTCTTTTGTATTTCAACACGCACAGGGAAGATATTAATGGATAGATTGTTCTCAAAAGTCAGACCCCCACTCTGGTCCCTGCATCCAGCTGGGGGTCCCCAGAAAAGAAGGACTGGAGCTGGTGGGGGAGGTCCAGAGGAGGACACAAAGATACCCAGAGGGCTGAGATCTTTCTCGTCTGTAGCCAGGCTGGGAGGGTTGGGGATGTTTAGCCTGGAGAAGGCTCTGGGGAGACCTTAGAGCCCCTTCAAATACCTAAGGGGCTGCAAGAGAGCTGGAGAGGAACTTTGGAGATGGGCATGGAGTGACAGGGCAGGGGAGAATGGATTCCCACTGACAGAGGTCTGGGCTACCTGGGATAGTGGGAAGAGATCCTTCCCTGTGAGGGGGTGAGGGCCTGGCACAGCTTTCCCAGAGAAGCTGTGGCTGCCCCCTGGAAGTGTCCAAGGTAAGGCTGGACAGGACTTGGAGCAATCTGGGATAGTGGAAAGTGTCCCTGCCCATGGCACGGCATGGAACAAGATGGTCTTCATGGTCCTTTCCAACCCAACCCATTCTGTGATGTGATTAAAGCAGCCTCAGGGGCTTCACCAAGGGAAAAAAATAGAAGTTCATGCCCTTTCTATGAATGTAAAGAAGAGAGGGAGAAGAATTCATTTTCTGGTATGGGAAATATATTGTAAAGAAAGTTGGTAGCTACTATCACAATAAAGACAAATCTCATTGTATATTAAGAGGAGTCGGATATGAAATTGTTCCTTCTGCTTGAGTTCTTGGTATTATCTGTTTTATCCATGTAAATTGTGTCCTCAGAATAGAAAAGTGTCTCCTCTACCTTCAGGTATCCAAAAAGAAGCTGGTTATAGTTTGCTGTAAGAGGTTTGGTGTGGCAATGCCATGTAGCTACTGAGGGGCGTGAAATAGCAAAATAACTGTGATCAAAATATTGGTATTTCTCTGCATGACCATCTTCTATCAATCCAAACTATCTTTAGAGAGTCTGAAAGGAAGAAATTCTAGGAAATTAAAATTTTTTACCACACCAGAAAACCCTGGTGTGGTAATTCAGTGTCAGCTCTGCTAAAGGGGGCAAAGCAGAGATCAGAGTTGAAGTTTGGTGGGAAATAATAAAATGACTGCCTTAAACTTTAGGAGAGTCAGGGAGCATTGATGGATTCAAGACAAGGCAGGAACAGCCTGATGTCTATGAATTGTCAATCAAAGACAGTGGTGCAAGTTGCCTGTGTTGGGATCTGAGGTAATTTAAGTAGGAAAGGGGCCCAAGCAGGTCTTGGGTCAGACTTCCTGTTCCAGAAGGATCAACCCTGGGGTCTGACTCACTTGTCTGGGGCTTGATCCACTTGGATCCTGCAAATCTATGAGGTTGGAGGTGGGCAGTCTTCTCTCATTGACTGCAATCATGGGGGAAAAGGCTTTCTCTGAGTCATTCTTCCTTAGTTTTGAAAGATTAAAGTGATAAATGAAAAGATGGAGGTGATAGTGAGTCATTCATGGCCAAAAATAAAATTACTCCAGGATATTGTCTTGAAGAAAGGCAGCAAAGCTTATCCAGACCTCAGATTTATTTTATGACTGTTGTGACTAGCCATGGGAAACAGTGCCTTGCACTTAAGTCTCATTTGTAGTGTTTTGCAAAGCAATTCTGAAACTGTAAGTGGTGGGAAGGTTAATTTAATACAGAGCTAACGAAGAGATTCTATAACTCATCCTCCCTAATGCTAATCATTCAAAACATCTTTACTTCTTAACTGACTACTGTCAATTACCATCTCTTAGAGATGCTGAATAGGTAATTTCTTGTATACTGATTCTTGTCAGTATTTTATAAAACAGTCAGCATCTCATTCAGAAAGCTTGAATTTGGGAAGAACAAAAAGCCCTGTTAGAACAGATGGTTTCTGTGACTGACGCCCTAATGCACAGTTTCAACTCTGTCTCGTCTTTAACAGGAAAGTGTTTCAGGATTCACCAGTTGGCTTGTCAAATTAGCATCAGAGACTGCTTTGGATGTAAAATCATAAATCATTTGGTGACCTGAAGGGGATAAAGTATTGGCTAAAAGGAAAGTTTAACTTGAAGAGAAGCCTTTTCTGTGCTCTGGTGCCACCTTTAAGGGGGAGGTTGGCCTCTGTGGGCTGACCTCTCCTCTGCAGGCTCTGCATCCCTTCACTATGAAGTCATGGAGGTGCTACTGAGCTTCCACGAAACAGCAGCAAAGCAAGGATATTTATGAGTCCTTAATGCCAAGATCTGATGCCCCCACTATCCAGCAACTGCCATGGTTTTGACTCCAGACCATCCTTAATGGAGGGCTGTTCAGAAAACCAAGTTTAATCGAACAAACAGTGGTGGGGTAACACCTCACAGACAAGTGTGTTCATTAAATTAATCATCAGGTCCTTTGTGCTGCCTCCACCACTTGGTTCTCAGGAAATTTGACTTCTGTATCAGTGCTTGGCTTAGGTCAAATTCCATTTAGGTCTTTCTGTTGTGTGAAAAATCTTTAGCAGCCAAAGAGCAAGGAAAGATTCAGCAAAGGAAGGATGTGGCAAACCATCTACTTCACTGAAAAAAGTGTTTGGGAGTTTACTCAATACAATTCTGAATTGTGAATAGTGCCAGAAAATTTGTCTGAGTAGAATAAGACCTGTAAGAAATCCTGCCTCTTAGGGGATGTGACTTTCCAATTCCTCCTTAATTTTGCAGCCAATATTTTTATGCCAATAATACATGCCTGAAACGAGAGAGGAGCTGTAGAAAGTGGAGAGAAAAATAAATGTAGAGGAGAGGAACAGGGAAATGGTTAGGGGTAGAGTGAAAAAGAGAAAATGTAAGCAAATAAAAAGGGAAGGGGAAAAGGGCAAAATAAAAAAATATTTCAAGTGATGAGAGATAGGGGGATGAGTAGGAGGTGGCAGATTCAAAACAAACAAGCTCTGAAGTGTGGGATAAGCTTTAAAACTCCTCTACAGGATGTGGGGAAAATTTGTGCTCTCTCCATCGCTTTTTCACAGTCACTATTACTTCCATATGCTGTACATGCTCAGCTGAGGTGTCTTCAGCAGAGAGGAGAATATAAAAAGGCATAGAAAAAAGACTTTAAGTTCAAATAAAAGCTGGACTCATTGATTGAAAATGAATCCCCTGTGGGTGTCTTATTACTTGGAAAGCTCATCTGGTGGGTGCTGGGTCAATAGATGGGCTGGGATGGGATGGGCTGGGCTGGGATGGGATGGGCAGAGGCTTTGGCTTTTCCCGTCTGTTGGAGTTGGGATATGGGATCTGGGACTGCTGCTCTGGGCCTCTGTGGCTGCTCCTATGTCAGGAAAGAACCAAGCTGGCAGGAAAGCGTGGTCAGTGCTTGTTGCAAAAGGAACTTAGCCCTCAAAAAGCAGGATGCTAGCAGAGCCAGAAGATTTCCAGAGGATTAATATCCATTTGCCTTTGCCCTTCTCATGGTACTGGACTTCCCTGGCTTTCATCTCTCCCCCATCCTCCCAATGCAGAGGTTTCCTCTTGCTGCCTTCTTTCTGACACTGCTGAGAGCCATCATTCTCTGTAAGCACATTTCGTCCTGATGGCTCCCCAGGCAGGAATTATCCCTCACCACTCACTATTTAGACTTATGCTCTGCTCAAGTACAGTTTTTACTAATCTCTTTCACTCTGAGGAATTCCTAATGTTTATCTTGAGCATATGCAAGGATTTCTTTGGGAAGATGACTGTGAGGTACATCTCTGTTCAGATGGATTTTGAGCTGCGCAGTTGAGCTGTATGAAATGGTCATTTGCAGTAAGAGGAATTTGTAAAATTACTGTTTGCTGGGTGCCACAAGTCTGTGCTGGTGGGATTTACTGCACATCCTCAGCAGAATGATCACTGGGAACTACATCATTCCCTTTCAAATGTTTGGCTGACCCCTGCAGAGGTGTGAGGTGGGACATGAGAGTGGGTGCACATCCCAGGGTTAGGGTGGAAAGTGTCACTGTCATATTTTCTGAAAAATCCCCTTGCCCAGGATTCTTTTCCAGGGAAGCTGAGAAGTCTTAGAGAAAAAGGAAAACAATAATTATCTCATTTGCTTCTCCTGTGTTTTGCTGCTTTGGAATGTGGTTTGGAGATGGTTTATCCAACATGGGAATTGTTTTGACTTAGTGACCAATCACAGTCAGGCTGTGTTGGATTCTGAGGAGAGAGAGCCACAAGTTTTTAATTAGTATCTTCTAGCTTTGTGTCTGCATCCTTTCTCTATTCTCTATTATAGTTTTAGTATAGTATTCTTTAATAAAATACAGTATCATAAAATAATAAATTAGCCTTCTAAGAACATGGAATCAGATTAATAATTTCCTTACTGCAGTGGGGGGCGCAGAAAATACCACAGGAAAGGACTCAGTCCCTGACTTTCTGAATCATAAATTTGCTTTTTTCATGGTAGTAGACCTTTTTAGACCCTTTTCATGCATCCTTTTCTAAGGAAAACACTGTCCTCCAAGTGCTTTTCTCCCTCTTGTAGGCTTTCCCAGGTGTGCCTTGCAAGTAATGGCCAAGCTTTCTTTTAGCCTGATTAATTTTTTGGTTGTTGAGCTATTGAAAATTAATGAACACATTACATAAGAATTTTAAAAGTACTCCTACAGTGCTTTGCAAAATGTCACCCCTGCTTAGACTGAGAAGAATTTTACAATGCTCCAAATACACTGAAATGTATTCCAAAGTTCCATATCTAAAATGCAATCAAAATTGGGAGATTATATATGCCTATAAAACAGGAATACTTTTATCTGCTTCTCAAAGATAATTTTATATAATTTAATATATAAGGGATATAATGATAAACTGGGTGCTTAATTTCAAATCTGAAATGATAAAACCCCACACAGTTTTTAAGTGAATAATCTAAGTTGGCAGTTTGTAATCCTTTCTAGCCACTTTGAGCCTGCATTGCATCACAGGCACAGCTTATCACCCATTGCATAAGGGAATTAAGTCAGTTTTACTGAGAGTATAGGGGACTATTTACCTCTGACAAAGTTACAGGGTAATAAATACAAGTAATGTCAAAGTTTAACTACCCAAACCATTGTTAATTACCCATTTCCAGATGATTATTAGAAGAAAAAAGAAATTAAAAAAATAATTACTTTTTCCCTGCATGAAGAGCTTCTAAGAAACTTCAAGCAAGAATAGTATAAGAGTGCCTCCAAGTGGCATCTATCTACATTAGAAAAACAATTCAAGCAAGCTTTAGGAATTCATTCAGAAAACCAAGCTGAACAAATCCTGCCTTTTTAGGTGTTTTGTTTTGTTTTGTTTTGTTCTTCTTAGTCCATTTCATTCTTTAGGTGTTTGTGTTGACTAGTCAGTGGGGCTTGCTGTCTGTTATTAGGAAACTACAAGAGAAGGCTACTTAATCTAAATCACTATTCCTAGAGGCTTATCTTTATATCCTACCTTTGCAGAGGTCATCCTTAGATTAATTGTAATGGTTAAATTAAATTTATTGACACATCATGTCACAGCATTGGTTTCCTGGGAACTGTTGCTTTGAAGAATTATTTTTTTTTCCTTTGATTTTGTGGTGTTTCCTGCTAAAGGTGTCTCCAGCAGAGCCAAATTCTGATCCACACCCCCCATGGGTTCTTTGCTGCATGTAGAGGATGCATCACTGCCATGGATGTGCTTGCAGGGAGAAAGGGAGGCTGTGCAAAGGGGAGACTTTTTACTGTAGGACTGGAGGTAAATGGAGGGACTCACCGAAAGGCAAGCTGTGGAAAATCTGTGATCTGGTAGAGCTGGAAGGACTGGAAGAGTCCGTACCCTCACACAGGACAGGGGCTTTCATGGGCACAGTCATGGGCTGGAAAACCCCAGGAAAAGAGAGAAGTTCATTGCCCTGTGCTCTTGAAGTTCTGGGCTTTGGAGAGACCAAAGGAGCATTTTAATGCAAGCCACACTTGGTTCTGAAATTCATTAGAGTGAGAAGAAAATCTTCAACACCTACAAAAGAAAAGTACTTTTATCACTGTGCAAGTGAGGTCTGGAAGTGGCTGTCTCTGGAGGTTGTGGAGACAGCATCAGCCTGCTGGAAAAGGGATAGGAAAATCCATGGATAGAAAATCCATAAAAATACACTGATGGAAGGGAACAGGCAGAGATGTCTGCAATAATGTCCCTAACCCAGGAAATGTGGATGTTGGAGAAGGCTGTGAACCACAGGAAGTCAGGCAGGCTCTCCCAGCTGGATTCAATGGACTAAAGGTCTCACCTAGTAGGGGATTTTTTTGCCATTAAAAGAGATTGCACCCCACATATTGAAGACAATTGATTGTGGAATGGTTTCCTTTTTTTTTCCCTCTGTACTAGAAAATTTGTAACTCTGGTCCTGAAGTTTTAATCACCATAAATGAAAATAACTCCTATAAAAGAGACTTTATGTGAAAATTTAAGAATAACACCAAATTATACATGGGAACAAACCCACAAGCTTCATGATCCTCATGTGTTTTTTTCCTACAGGTGTCTCAAGTTATTGTATCCTTTTTTAAGAGGGAGATAACTTGATATCTGGGAGAAAATCACTGCCTAAGGAACTTATGAATTTAAATTATCTTGCATGATTGACAGGTTTTAACACCCACAATTAATATGGAGCTACTTGATGGCAGACTTCACAGTTTACAGATAGATTAAAAGGAAGCAGAGAATTTGTTCTTACTTTAAAGCAAGCCTGTGTAGCATATAGCCAGCCTTCCTTTGAATAAGCAATCTGCTTTTGAGAGAGAAAACCCACTGATGCACATTTGAGAAAAACAGAAAATAAAAATCAGTGCTGCAGTCACTGGTTTGTGGTTTTGTAGAGGTCTTTATAAAGACAGTAGCATTTAGCAACACCTATTTTTACAAGTCTGTCCACACATTAAAGAGTGGGGTTTAGGTTTAGACATACAATTAATAACAACAATAATCCAGCCTAGGAAAACACAAACACAAATATCCTGTGTTTGTAACCTGCATTGATATTTCCCTTTGCTCCAAAATGAATGCCTGTTCTTTGTTTTTTCCTGACTGTATTCTATGTCAATCCAAAGATTCTTAGGTTTTTCATTTTTGTTTGTTTGTTGGGTTTAGTTTGGTTTTGCTTTTTCTTTTTAAACATAAATCATGTTTAGCTCACTTCGAGGTTTAGGCGTGAAATACTTTCAATAGTGATTTGCAGTGTGGTAATCCTTGGAATGGCTTTGTTGGAGAAAAGAGCTTTGTCAGAGATCAGTCTGCAGGAAACAGAGATTTAAGAGACTAGCTGAAATGGTGGGGAAGTTTGGGAAAGCATATCTGAACAACCTGAGAGGAAAAGGGTAAAAGAGAAAAAGCACTGGCAGAGTTTTCTCAGATCATAATATGCAGTTTATGCAGCTGGCAGATGATTATAGAGTGGTTCTGAGGTTGGAAGGGACCTTAAAGATCCTCCAGTTCCAATCCCCTTGCCATGGGCAGACACATTGCAGTTATTCTAGAATGACTCCAGACCTTGATCCATAGGAGAGCAAAGGGAGTTAAACATGGG